CTGATTGGCCTGTTCGGCCTGACCATTGGACTGCGGGTGGTAACCCGATGTTAGGCTGACAGAGGCCCCTAAAGAATTACAAAAGTTCTTCCATACCTGTGATATGAATTGGGGTCCTCTGTCAGAAACGATGTCCGATGGGATGCCGTGAACTCGAAAAACATGTTGGACCAACAGCTGGGCCGTCTCCAAGGCCGAGGGAAGCTGGGGTAACGGAAAGAAATGAGCTGCTTTAGAGAATCTGTCAATGACAGTGAGAATAACAGTTTTACCATCAGAGGGGGGCAACCCAGTAACAAAGTCCAGAGATATATGGGACCATGAGCGGCTAGGGGTGGGAAGTGGCTGTAATTTTCCAGCTGGAGGCTGGTTGCCAGTCTTACTTCTGGCACATGTGGGGAAAGCGGCTACGTAATTCTTTACATCCTCGTTCATGGAGGGCCACCAGAAGTGTCTCTTAGTCAGAGTTAGCATACGAGCAACACCTGGGTGACAAGAAATCTTATGAGTGTGGAGCCAGTTGAGTACCTTAGCCTTGATACTGGTGGGTACAAACATAGTGCCAGCAGGGCCTGTCCCAGGGTCAGGTTCGGACTTCTGGGCCTCTAAGATGTCCTTCTCAATGGACCAGGTCAACGAACAAACCACACAGAATGAGGGTAGAATGTTTGGTTCCTGTTCGGTGTCCTCAGGTGGTGAGAACTCACGAGACAGGGCGTCGGGCTTCACATTTTTAGAGCCGGGTCTGAAAATCAGTACAAAGTTAAATCTTGTAAAAAATAACGACCGTCTCGCTTGTCTGGGGTTTAATCTCTTGGCCTCGCGGAGATAAGTGAGGTTCTTGTGATCAGTCCAAATGAGGAATGGTGTGTCTGTGCCCTCGAGCCAGTGTCGCCACTCCTCCAAGGCCAACTTGACGGCAAGGAGCTCACGGTTGCCTACGTCGTAATTCTGTTCAGCAGAGGAAAGGCGTCGAGAGAAGAACGCACAGGGGTGTACTTTGTTGTCAACAGGAGATCTCTGAGACAAAATGGCTCCTACGCCAGTGTCAGAAGCATCGACCTCAAGGATAAACTGTTTCTTAGGATTGGGGTGGCAAAGAATAGGGGTAGAGGAAAAAAGTATTTTTAACTCACCAAAAGCCGTTTCTGCCTCATGAGTCCACTTAAAAGTCCGCAGGGTGGAGGTCAATTGGGTGAGAGGAGCAGCGATCCTGCTGTAGTTCTTGATGAACCTATGGTAGAAGTTAGCAAAGCCCAGAAATTGCTGCAGCTGTTTGCGTGTCTCAGGTGTTGGCCATTCCACCACTGCCTTAGTTTTCTCAGGGTCTGTGCGGTATTGTCCTCCTTCAAAAATAAAGCCCAAAAAGGAGACAGATTGTACATGAAAATCACACTTTTCGGCTTTAACGTACAGTTGGTTCTCATATAATCGTTGTAGGACAGTCCTGACGTGGTGAACGTGTTGCTCCTCATCCCATGAGTAGATCAATATGTCGTCCAGATACACAAATACAAAAATGTTCAAAAAGTCTCTCAAAATGTCATTAACCAATGTTTGAAAAATTGTAGGGGCATTGGTGAGACCAAATGGCATGACCAAGTACTCAAAATGTCCCAGTGGTGTCTTAAATGCTGTCTTCCATTCATCACCTTCCTTGATTAGGACGAGGTGACAAGCGTTACGAAGATCTAATTTGGAAAATATTTTAGCAGAGTGCAATTGTTCATGGATAGAGTCTATTAGTGGTAAAGGATATTTGTTCTTAATTGTGATCTGATTTAATCCTCTATAGTCTATGCAGGGACGTAAGGTCTTGTCTTTTTCAGCCACAAAGAAAAATCCTGCTCCAACAGGAGAGGTGGAGGGACGAATTATTCCCGAGTTCAATGATTCAGAGATAAACTCTTTCATGGAGTCATGTTCTGGACCAGACAAATTGTAAAGGCGGCTAGAAGGAAGAGGAGCCCCTGGTAGTAAATCAATAGCACAATCATAAGGACGGTGCAATGGTAATGACAGGGACTTTTGTTTACTAAATGCAGGGGCAAGGTCATGGTAAACAGTAGGAATCTTAGACAAATCGACTGGATCGGGTGCCTCAGGATGTTTAATAGTGGAAGGAACAGCAGTTCTTAAACAGTTCATTAAACAGTGTGGGCTCCATTGTTCTATTCTTTTAATCCTCCAATTAATTACGGGGTTGTGATCTCTGAGCCAAGGAAAACCCAGGACAAGCTGTGTAACGGGTGATTCGAATACAAAAAACTCAGTGTTCATGATGGTTCCCGGAGATCATGAGGTAGAGTCTTCTTAAAAACTGAAGCGAACTTTTGACCCGTTAGCCCGGCCATCGTCAGTGGCGTGGGGAGAAGTTGTGTGGGGATGGATAGGAGTTCAACCAAGTCCTGGCTAATGAGGTTTTGCTCGGCCCCAGAGTCCACTAGAGCAACAACTGATTTACTTTCTCTATCAACAATAATGGTGGTGTTGAGTTCCAAGCGGGAGACAGGAGAAGAAGAAGAGTTTCTCACCAATATCTCCTGTCTTATTGGTGAGAGGAGCTGTTTCCCAAGAGTGGGCAACGAGCAATAAAATGTCCTTGTTCACCACAATAAAGACAAGCTTTATTGTTAATTCTTTTTGTCTCTCTTCTGGAGAGAGGCGAGTGCGATCCAACTGCATAGGTTCTGGTTCTGAGTCGGGTTTGTACTCTAGCATTAGTGCAGGTGGTTGTCTCAGCGTGGAGTGAAAACCGGAAGCAGTGGAACTCTGGGAAACGTAGTCTCTTCTATTGAAAACGGTTCGATGTTTTGACGTAGAGGGAAAACCGGAAGTAGGTGAATTCTAGGAATTGTAGTCTTTCTCCCACCTTCGTTCTTGTAGCTGGTTATCGATGCGTGTGGCTGACTGAATTAGCTCGTCCAAACTTTGTGGTTCATCTAGTGCCACTAAATGGTCTCTTATGGCGTTGGAGAGGGAGTGTAGGAAGGTACCTCTGAGTGCGACCTCTCCCCATCCGGTTCGGGCGGCGATGATCCTGAACTCCAGAGCATGAGCCGTAAAAGAGCGTCTGCCTTGTCAAAGGGTGAGTAGACGTTTTACTGCTTCTGCTCGTTGGAGGGGTTGATCGAACACGCGCTTGAAATCTTCTAAAAGGGAGGAAAAGCTTAAGGTACTGACAGGGTGAGAGGATAAATGAGCATGAGCCCAACGTAATGCGTCCCCCTTTAGCTGAGTGATGAAAAAGGAGATTTTTGCAGCATCTGAAGAATAAAGACTGGGTGCTCTCTGAAACGTTAGTTCACACTAAAGTACAAAACCCCCACACATTTCAGGCTCTCCACAAAAAAGTTCTGCCGGATTTAAATTTTGCTCTGTGGTGGTCATTTGGGGAGGATTAGAAATAGGAAAACTGACCTCAGGTGTAGGTGTTGCAGCAGGTGGCAGGAGCTGAGTCATCCCTTGTTTGACTGAAAACAACATGCTGCCCAATTCCTGAAGATTAGACTGGTTAGTCTGTTGCAGATTTAACAAGCGTTCCAGAGTAGCTTCATTTTTCTCTACTCTGTGTAACATAGCCTGAAGAGTGAGTTGGCTCTGTTCAGATCCGGAGTCTTTCAGGGGTACTTGGCTTGGCTGGGACATTCTTGTTATGATTGCGGGTGTACCCAGAACGAAAGACCAGAACTGAACAGACACCAGGACTCAGATAATAATTTACAGTGTTTATTTACAGGGTTGTGATAAATAAGACATCCACAAGAGAACGGGAATACCTGGGGAGAGAGCGGTACTTTAAAGGGATGTGGTTGGATGACGATTTCTTGTAGAATAGTTCTTACGGTTTGTAGCAGGAAACAATAAGATGGTATTGTCCAAATGGTGTCCAGTGGCACAAGGTGAAGCAACAAGTAGATTTTAGGCAAGTGGTGGAAGGCATCCAGCAATTGTAGACAGGAGGAGTCACAGTTCACATGGAACTCAAGCAGGGCAGGTAACAGCAAGATCCAAACTCGTTGGTAGGCAATGTCCCAGCGCCTGCAGAGTGGTTCCTGAATCTTCTTATGCTCCTCCTGGGTGTTGAGTTGATCATCTGCAGCTGGAGCCAATTAGGAGTGTAGAGGAGAGAGGAAGGCAGGGTGCAGGGCAGGATCCTTACACACCACTGACCTGTCGCGTCACCGCTGACAACCTGGAAATGTGGGCCGGTGTTGTGCCAAAAATCGATTGGCTGCCAAATGGTGGCTGCATGCATGGTAGGGTTTTAACAAGAATTTAACAAGATTAACACTTAAAAACAATTATTTATTTGCTCGAAATGATAGCAAAGGTTGAACTTTTACTTAATAAATGCACTTCAATGGTCAAATTAGCTGCATTTCACCGGGGCGGTGCAGTGAAATGAAGCTGATTTGACTTTTGCTCCAGGTGAGCTGGACAAAGGTGACAGGCTAAGGCAAGCCGATTGTGTCATTAATAGCCTCTTTTACCTATTACATGACACAACGGCATACCATACCACTCGAGTGCCATCTAGCGGCTGAAAATGGTAGTATTCAATACTTTCAGTCAGAATAAATGAAAATGGTCAAATCTCAGCCAAAAATTGGTTTATAAATATGGAAAAATCCATCAATACGTTGCTTAGGCGTATAAGTTGCAGGGCGTGCAAATTATGCAAAAAAAACGACTTATAGGCCGAAAAATACGGTAGTTAAAATAAACTAAAACTGGACTAAAAATCAGCATCAGTGTATCTTAATCAAGCTTAATTAAAGCTTAAAGCATAAATGGTACAAAAAAAAAAACTAAAATCATAGCATAGTAAGCAGCAAAAGCGGCACAGGAGGAACAAACAGGATCTAAATAATGTGCATTTCATGCACACTAAATGGCAATGTTCACGTTGGGTGAAGGTAAATGACAAACTAATTCATGTTTTCTCTATGGAGTCATTTGCAGATGAAATTTTGGACAGACAGGTTTGTGAACATTACCCATGTGCAGCAGTGGTGCGATCAGCACGAAGAACATCAAACATGTAGAGCTCCTTCAGGAGACGAACGCTATCCTCTGCTGCTACTTTGGGACTTGGAGCCTGGAGGAGGAGCACATCATTTTCTTACTTTACTCACTGCAAATACAATCCAATGTAACCACTCCAAGCATAAATATTAAAACACTGAACTTAAAATAAGTTTTAATTGAATCACAATGCACATGTGAGCTGGGAGAAAGGTTTGTGACATGACAGATGCACAAAGTTCTATTTTATGTTTTTAATCAGGCAGTCAAACAGGCCAAAAAGAAAATAAAAACCTAAAAATTACATTAAAATTTCTACCAACATAAGTATTTAAAATGGAAAGTTTAATTTAAATCATGCACAACTGAAGAACAAGTCGCTTAAATATAAACAAGTCACTTAAATATAGACTGCTGACTAGAATCCAGGATAAAGTGAAAGGAAAACCTCGACCAGGATGTTATTTTTCATCCATCAGGATTCACTGCAAGTCATGCTTTGTGTGTGTGCACGTGTGTGAAACTGTTAATTGTGTGTGAATTATCAAAAAAAAAAAAGACAAAAATGTGTGAATTATTGTCCAGGTACTCTGTTGTGATGCTGCATAGAGGAGCTGCAGGAGGATGATGTCTGCTTCCATTCCCAACCTGCCACAGATGACCTGTCATCAACTTTAGATCCTGTAGTGGGCGGCTGTGGCTGAGTGGTTAGAGCAGTCGTCCTCCAATGCGAGAGTTGGGGGTTCGAACCCACAAGCAGTCGCATGCAGAAGTGTCCCTGGGTAAGACACTGAACCCCTCCTAGCCTCTGATGTGTGTCCCATCAGTGTATGAATGTGATCTAAAGCACTGACTAGTCTCATTAGAATGATTTGTTCAATTAGCTTTGTACAGAATTAGCTAGTAGAGTGCTGTATGAATGGGTAAATGAGGCACAGATTGTAGTGTAAAGCACTTTGAGTATCTTGAAATAAGATAGAAAGTCGCTATATAAGTACAGTCCATTTATCATTTATCTGTAGTTGTAAAATGTTTTGTGAGGAGTTTGTAGAGGTGAGCTGACACTTTATTTTGACTTTTCTCCTGTATTCAATTAGCACAGTGAGGTAAGAGACTTTTGGTTTGGTTCATTTTATTTTTCTTCAGGTAAGAGAAAATACAGTTGCTTGATTTGTTTGTTGTTTGGGCCTGAAGTTGGTACAAAGTCAATAATTTCATTATTGTAAATAAAATCACTGCTCTATCATATAATCCTGACTGAGTGCATGCTTGAGTGGTGTAGAAGGTGGAATTGTCCATAATTAATAGCGTCCTGGCGGCTGTTATTGCGCTGGGGTGTAACATCATGGACTCCATCCATCTGTTCCTGGCCCTTCACTCCAATTTTAGAACTCGGTGTGGCCTGCGAGTCCGAAAGTTTGCCCACCCCTGGGCTAACATGACAGCTAACGCTTTAGCCGTCTTGCTTCACAGCTAAGACTGGGACCGTGTCTTTAGTGATATGATAATGTGCTGATTTATTAAAGTCACCACCTCTCTCTGCTCCTCTCATAATGCTCATCATGGCTAAATGAGCTGACCCGTGGTTTGTTTTAAAGAAGCAGGCTGAAAAAACACTCAGCGCTGCGGATTCACGGTTCTGAGTGGAGGCTCACTTTACTACAGTTCACACAGGTTTACTAACGTGAAGGCGATGCAGCTGAATGGACTATACTTATATAGGACTGTACATGTTATGTCCAACTTATGTTGGACTGTACAGATCAGGCAAGCTTAGCACAGCATGTCAAGTCCAAGACTCGACAATAAAACAAGTTTAACTTACTAATAACTCATCAACACCATCACTATTCCAATAACAACACATTCAGTGTAGGACAACACTCCAGTAGTCAATAACATGTCAGGGAGACAGAAAAGTGGGTGAAGAATTTATCTGACAGACAGCTCACCCAGCCGGAGACAGAGATTCTTGCCAGGGGACTGAACTTTGCGGTTGCACCAAGTAGAATTCCTCTGGTGGAGATGATCACAGCTACTGAGTCAGCCATCCGCAACAACAAAATTAAAGAGGCTGAAGCAGAACAGCTCAGAATCAAAGTTTCAGTCTGCCTCAGCAATGCCAAACCACCACCTTCCAACATCAGTAGAGAGGAGAGGGATGCACTCACCACTCTTAGCAAGGACAAAAACATCATCATTCTCCCAGCAGACAAAGGAAGGTGCACAGTGATTTTGAACCAGAAAGACTATCATGAGAAAGTTATGACACTCCTTAGTGACTTAAACACTTATGAACCTCTGAAAAGAGATCTAGGAAGTGGTTACAAGAAGAAATTGATAGATTGCCTAAAAATTTTGGAGCAGGACAAGGTTATTGACCGTTTTCTGTACCACAGACTGTACCCAGGGGAGGCCACACCTAGTCTGTATGGTTTACCTAAAATCCACAAACAAGGTGTACCTTTAAGACCATTCGTTAGCATGATTAACTCTGTCACTTACAATGTTTCCAAATATCTGGCGTCTGTACTCGTCCCTTTAGTTGGCAGCTCAGAACACCACATACAGAACACCATGGACTTTGTGGATAAGGTGAGGGATGTCATCATGGAGACTGATGAAACAATGGTCTCTTTTGATGTCACATCACTCTTTATGTGCATTCTTGTTGATGATGCAGTAGAGGCGGTCAGTTTAAAATTAAAATCAGACACCACTCTGAGCAGCAGGACCACGCTTTCCACAGAAAAACTGTGTCAACTCTTGAAACTGTGCCTGCAGTCAACCTACTTCACATATGGGGAGCAATATTATAGGCAGAAACATGGGTGTGCTATGGGGTCTCCAGTTTCTCCTAGTGTTGCCAACCTGTACATGGAGGAGGTAGAAAAGAGAGCCTTGACGTCCTTTTCAGGGACACCACCAAGTCATTGGTTCAAGTATGTTGACGACACCTGGGTTAAATTTAAATCTCAGGAAGTCCAACATTTTACTGACCACATCAACTCTGTGGATAAATACATCAAGTTCACGCGAGACGATGAAAAAAATGGCAAGTTGGCTTTCTTGGACTGTGAGGTCTCAGTCTCTGATAGAGGACATTTGCAAACTGAGGTGTACCGCAAACCCACCCACACAGACCAGTATTTGCAGTTTGACTCCCATCACCCTTTGGAGCACAAATTAGGAGTCATCAGGACTCTGTATCACAGAGCAGACAGCGTCCCCACTAGCTCAGGAGCCAGGCAGAAGGAGAAATCCCACACAAGACAGGCTCTAGAGCAATGTGGATATCCTAACTGGGCCTTCCTAAAAGCAGAGAAGAAACCCAAACAGGACTCCAGTCAGCCAACAGGTGAAAAGGAGGAACCCAGACCCAGACCAATGGTCATTCCATATGTTGAGGGAGTATCAGAGAAACTGAGACGTTTA